ATGAGAGACATGAATGCCAAGGTTGGCATAGACAACACTGGATATGAAGACATCATGGGACGACATGGACTGGGAGAAAGGAACGAAAATGGTGAGAGATTTGCAAACCTATGTGCCTTCAACAAACTGGTCATCGGTGGCACAATATTCCCGCACAAACGCATTCACAAAGCCACATGGATTTCACCGGGCCACACTACTCAAAACCAAATTGACCATATCTGTATCAACAAAACGTTTAGAAAGACCATGGAGGATGTGAGAACCAAGAGAGGAGCTGATATAGCTTCAGATCACCACTTGCTGGTTGCCAAAATGAAACTGAAGCTAAAGAAACACTGGACAACGGGGCAGACAACATCGCACAAGTTTAATACGGCCTTTCTTCGGGATACTGTAAAGCTCAATGAATTCAGGATAGCCCTCACCAATAGGTTCCAGGCCTTTCAGGATCTACTCAATGGAGAGGACGCAACATTGGAGAACAATTGGAAAGGGATTAAGGAGGCAATCACTTCAACATGTCACGAAGTTCTGTGTCACAAGAAGTACCATCACAAGGAATGGATCTCTGTTGATACTCTTGCAAAAATTGAAGAAAGGAGGAACAAGAAGGCAGCAATCAATGTCAGCCGAACAAGAGCAGAGAAAGTTACCGCACAAGCTGAATACACAGAAGCAAACAGGGAAGTGAAGAAGAGCATCAAAGCTGACAAACGAAAATATGTGGAAGATCTAGCAATGATGGCGGAAAAGGCTGCAAGAGAAGGAAACTTGAGACAGTTGTACGAAACAACAAAGAGGCTCGCTGGAAACTATCGTAAACCGGTAGGACCAGTGAAAAGCAAGGACGGCAAAGTAATCAGCAACACTGAAGAACAGCGAAATAGGTGGGTAGAGCACTTTAAGGAACTGTTGAATCGACCAGCTCCACTGAACACACCCAACATCGACGCAGCATCCACGGACCCGCCAATTAATATTGGCGCACCTACGATTGAGGAGATCAGTATAGCCATCAGACAAATCAAGAGCGGCAAAGCAGCAGGACCAGACAACATTCCAGCAGAGGCAATGAAAAAAGATGTGGAAGCAACTGCGAAAATGTTTCACATCCTCTTCAAGAAGATTTGGGATGAGGAACAAGTACCATCATATTGGAAAGAAGGATACCTGAGCAAAATACCAAAGAAAAGTGAGTTCGGCAAGTATGAGAACTACAGAGGCATCATTCTTCTTTCAATACCAGGAAAAGTCTTCAACAGGGTATAGTTAAACAGAATGAAGGACATCGCAGACGCCCAACTTCGGGATCAACAGGCCGGACCTGCAGCTCGTCCTTGCTTCAGATTTCCTAACGCTTTTTAACTTCATTAAGACTTGGGAGACTTACGTCGACTTGTCATTCAGGATGACTGGAGATCGTGAGTAACCGAAGAGTGGCTCGAGGTCAGTTGAACTGATCCCTAAAGTGTTCTGCCCATCGATCCAGTCTCCTGGATTGAAAATAAATAATAGTCCCCTCATTTACTGAGATAATCTCACTTACACTAGGATTCCTAATACCAGTCTCCTTGATAAGTCGGAAAAGTTGTCTACTATTGCCTTTTTCATCGCTAAGGCTTTCGCCGCCCACCACTGTTCACGGTCGTTGCGCAAGCTTTTTATCAGCCTGCGCTTAAGATGACTTCGTTCTTCATCATGTTCAGAGCCAGGTGGGATGAGTTTTCGGGCATCCATCAGATCGGTGGACGCTGCTGAGATCCACGGTTTCATTCTAGCCTTATGGTCAACCTTACTAGCAGATATCACTGCTGTTTCCACAGCCTTCTTGATATCATTCCAACCTGCCTCCGGATGGGAATCGCTTAAATGGTCGCCTAACTGTCTTTCTAGTTCCTCCAGAAATATATTCTTCGCGCTATTATCATTAAGTAAAACCCTAAGAGGCTTTCTTACGGTGTCTTTCCTACGTCCAGCAAACCTCAAACAAATACGCGCTCGCACTAGGGCATGATCTGAATCCAAACATGTGCTCCAGAACGAGCGACAGTCTTCTATCGAACCCCTCCATCGGTGGCTGATGGCGATGTGATCTAGTTGAGTCCAACGTTGAGACGACTTTGGAGGTCGCCAGGTCAACAGATGCTTTTCCTTATGCCTAAAGTTAGTGTTTGCTAAGAATAGGCGGTTGTCTGAGCATGCTTGCAACAGACGGTCACCATTGTCTGTTCTCTGAGCCGCGATACCATAACATCCACCTAGGTGTCTCTCCTGCTCACTTAGTCTACCTACTTGAGCATTAAAGTCACCAGCCATTATTACTATATCAGAGCGCCTAGCTTTTTGGAGGAGGTCCGAGAGCTTTCTGTAAAACTCATCCTTAACCTCGTCTGAACTGCATTCAGTGAGGGCATACGCAGATACGATGAAGAGGCAACGGCGAGTGTCCCTATCCTTCCGAGTCCTTACTGTCCCATTTAGTCGGACAGCGCACAATCGACTATCTATTGGGATCCAGTCAAGGAGAGATTGTTCTGCCCTACGACTCAATGCTATGCCTACGCCAGCAAGACCCCGGGAAGCAGCATCAGGGCTACCGGATACACGAAGAGTAAATCGAGCTGCTTCTTTTTGACAAGGTGAAATCAGTTTAATAATTTTACTAGAATCCTGTATGCGCGTTTCCGAGACGCAGCATACATCGATGGCACGAGTTTCTAAAGTCCTAGCTAAGGAAGCCTGTTGCCCTATTTGACACAATGTCCGTACATTAAATGCTCCAACATGTAATTTAGAACGGGGTTTAAGGAGACCAGGAACGATGTTTCGCGAACTCGCGTCGTTTGCATTAGCTGTGCACTGTGATAAATGAATGTGAGAAGAGTTAGCCGTGGAGATTAGAGAGAGGTATTAAGAGGTGTAGAAAGGATTTGATTTTGAACAATTTGGTCTCGCGTGCTGTTACAGGTATGGGGGCGGTTTTCACTTCCCGGATGCCCACACCGTGGAAGATTGTTTCTTGAGGAAGCTGAAAAGTAAGGTATATTAGCGTTGTTCTTAGAGACCTGGGTGCGTGACCGCAGAGCCCAAGGGACAACTGCTTGAGGCCGGTCACGCACGGCCTTTTTATGAAGGGTTCTTTGATTATTAGCTCCACACTTGAAAGACCTTAGTGGGCACCCTAACCGACGGAGACGGAAACCCGTGAGGTCGAGTGAGGTGTGACATTTTCAGTGTCGACCTTTTCTAACCCCTTTCTTCCTTGTCAGAAGGCAGCATCGCTGCAGATGCTGGGTGTCCGATGGAAACACCTTACTGGTGTCACAACTCTCCGCAGTCAGCAGTACGACTTCGCCCTCAGACCCTGAGTAGCTGCTTTAAGTCTCATGGTTCTCCAATCGATCTGCCTGGTATGGTTGAACCTACAGGAAAATATGCTCCAGCCATTATAGCTCGGTTGGGTCACCACATCAAGGTAGCTGCTGCGATCGAGACACAGATACGTTGTTGCAGACCGATTATCTATTTTCCGCATACTGCTTTTTTTATTCGAGTACCTACCCCACACCACAACAAATTTTCTGGTACAAGAAATACCATGATCACATAAATCACTTCATTCATAATGACAGTTATGAAGCATGTACACTTGACAGTGTCGATTACCAAACAACCTGTCAATATACAGAAAGAAGGCCGTACACAATAGTCAAAGATCATTAGCTTCACTGAAATCCAACTCAATCAAGATTAGGATGATTTTCCTGAAAACAAATACGTACGTACGTACGTACGTACATACACCACCACCACCACCAACAAGTTCTACATACATCACAAAAACACTAGAACACAAACTAAAATGAATTGAAAATTAAAGACAAGATTGGTTTTTAAAGTAGGAATTTTGTTAAATTTTATGTTTATACATTGATTGCAATAAAATATATGGAGTATAAATATGTGTATATATATAGAAATGTTTGCATACATCAAAATGGTACATAAGGAAGGAAAGAAAGAAACGATCGACTAGAAGTGAACATCAAGCACCAGGAAGAGAGGAGTAAGAAGAAGCAGTTGGCGAGAAATGGCTACATCATCAGTGAGTGTGATAACGGCAACACTGACTGCAGCAGCAACAACAACACGAAACCGCATAAGGCCATCATTCTTCTCATATAGGGGGGGGGGCAACAAGAACACTAGTGTTATAGTGTTATTGAGTTCGTTTCGACTGACCACACGCACACACACACCAACACATATACCATGGGAATTCAAATCAGATACAGTTAATTGACAAACAGAGATCATGATACTGACAATGATGTTAGTTGACCTACTGCACACACACTCACACACTCAATGAGGTACAACACAAAAGCCAAATCTCTTCGCCGCTTCATCATCATTATTACCGAATTTGTGTTCATCACCAGGAATTAACATCCATTGGACAATGATCATGTTTAGAGGAAGAATTGCATGACAAAAGATGGAAACAATGAAGAAATTGATTACCGATAAGATGAGGATCTGTGTGCACGTGCATGTGTGTGTACGTATGTGTATGTATGAGTGTAGTGTAGTATAGTGTATATATATAGAATGAAATGAACGAACAGTGAGTGAGTGAGTGTGTGAATGAATGAGAATAGAAGTAGTAGCCCTTAGTTGTGTTCGGGCTTAAAGATTATCCTCCTCCTCCTTCTCCACCTCATGAGGAAGTATACACACACACACACACACACACACACACACTGGAAGAATGAAAACAATGATAAATAGAAAAAAAAAAGTGTAATGAGTGTGAAAACAAAAAAAAAACAATGCGTTTTTTTTTCTGTTATCATCATTCAAAAAGAAACAAGGAATATCTTATTATTAAAAAAGAAAAAAATGCCAAAGTTTGCACGGATATCAATAGACAGTTAAATGGATAGATAGATAGATAGGTTATATAAATATACAAACATATAAATTGTACGTCGTTCAATATGATACGAGCAAGCGAGAGAGAGAGAGAGATAAACAAAAGAGAATCTTTCATTGTCTTGTTTTGTCATCGCTGTGTACACACAAGTACACACACACAGACACACACAAACACACATACATAGAACACGATTGTGTAATAAAAAGTAATTTCCTTACATACATACATACATTGATCAGTTTTAAAAAAAACAACCCACAGTAGTCATTCAGTGGCATCCAATTTTGATAAGTTGATGATTGATAAACAACAACAACAACCGATTGAATTCGTCATTATTTACTCGTGTGGTATCCCTAATCAGAAAAAAACAGAAAAAGAGAGAAGAAATCAGATTTTTTTTAGCGAAAGAAAAACGAAAATCAACAACATCCAATAGTAGTAGAGGTAATAACAGTATTACAAGTAATCGGAGAGATTACGGTGAGTTCTAGGGTAAATTTAGAAAGAGAAAGATAGAGGTGATGAGGAATTCCGGAAGTTAGAATTTGAGAGAACACAAAGAGTGGATGCACTTGCGCCATTCCAAACGGTTTTGAGCCATGTCAATCAGGATTTCCAACCATATCGATTATTATCATCTCGCAGGCCCCAACCAGGTAGTCGACACCTACCGATATGACTCAATCCACTTGTCAGTGACTTCATGGATTTCTGCCATGTTTTGGTTTGACCACCCTTAGCTTTCGGCCAACCGATTCCTACACTATAAAACAAAGCTCGTCGAGGCAGTCGGTGGTTAGACATACGTAACACATGTCCCAACCACATCAAACTCATGACGTTTCAATTCTTCATCTGTTGATGTCACCCTTACTTAGCACCCGTTTCCTAACGACAGCATCGCTTACTCCTTTGTTCCATGATACACCTATGATCGAGTACTAATAACCTATGAATGTCCTCTACTCTCACCGGCCATGTTTCGCATTCATATGGTAGGACCGAGCGAACTGCTGTGCATTACACTCGTCCTTTGGTTAGCAAGCGAATATCTCGCCTACGCCATAAGTGACGCAGGTTGGCAAAAGCCAACCGAGCTTTCTGTATGCCTGCTGAGATTTCGTCCATCGCCAAGCTCCAGAGATAAGTGAAGCTGTCTACACACTCGACTTCTTTACTTCCTATCACTAGTTCAGGTGATAGATGTAACCCAATCTTGAAACAACATTTTGCATTTTAGGGGGTAGTCAGAAGACTACATTTTGTCCGCGTCTTCACCGAATAGGACTAAAGTCAACCTATGAATCTCCTGGTAGAATGTCTACTCCTGAAAAGTCAGATGATGATCAAGTCAACTCTAAAAGCATGTCTACGACAAAGTTATACGTACAGAGATGCATAAATCAGTCACAATTAGATGGTTTATAATTCACACTTCCTAAATTTGTTAACAATCCTGTTTACAGGTGTTAGAGGGACATAGATGAATTAAAGCATGACTACGTTGCTGTGCGCTGATTGGCTAATTTCCTATCCAATCAGCGCCTGATCGAATCTTGGAGAACAGGGTAGAAGATTCTCGTACTGTTAGCTGAGTGCTGATTGGTTAAATCTAATCCAGTCGGTCACATGAATTTCTATCCAGAAGCTTTCTCATGTAAATGCTATAAATAGACTAACGTTGTATCTATTTTTGCCTTCGCTTTCGCCTTTGGCTTCTTATTTCCATTTAACCTTGCTATTTTTGAATATAATCTTTCCTGTTCAACCGTGTTTTTGATTCTTGGGAACTTGTCCAGTGTATTGTGGTCAGATAATACTAAGCAATAGGATTTAGCTGGGAATTATTTAAGCAAGCATTACAACAACAAGAATACAAGTAAGGAAACCGAGAGTCAAAGATCTCAAAGCACTAATATTATAACGTTGATTGTCCTCAAACCCAAGCTTTATTGATCATCAGCAAAGCATATACAGGCAAAAAAAAAACATATACCTTGAAGAAAAAAAAACAATTACCTGAATTCCAATTTTTAATAGGATTCACTACACTGTTCATTGTAAAACATGGATCACCAAAATTTGGACTAATAACAGAATTGTAATAAATTGCCGATTCATTGGCATGAATACCAACACCACCAGTAACATTAGTCAATGGTTCAATCATAGAATTATTATTATTAGCCAAAGGAATGTTTACTGATCTGAATACAGAAGAAGCAATTTGTGAATGATTCGTTGATGTTAGAAAACGACTAAATTCCAATGAAGATTGTTGATTATTAATCGGTGGTTGAGGAGATAATTGCATAGTATGCGATGGATTCGGTGACAAATTATCATTCATAACTGTGGCTGCTGCCGCAACCGCACCCACCGGGATTGTTGTTTGAATAGTATTCGACAATGAACCAGTGGCAGCAAGAAATCCGGTTGTTTGATTTATTGTATTATACATTGAATTAGTATTTCGATAATTGATTTGTCCATTGTTGTTGTTATTATTAGTATGATTGTTACCAGTACCACCACCGACAACTGCAGCAGCTGCTGCCGCCGCCGCAGCCAATGACAATGGATTACCATTACTGAGCATCGTTTGTGATTGTAACTCCATTTGTTGTTGCTGTTGTTGTTGTTGTTGAGCGCATAGATTGGCATAGTATGTCTCCGTTGGTGAACGTACATGTGAACCAGGCGGTGGTGCTGGAGGATAACCATTATAACGAAAGTGTGGATTTTTCAAATCTAAATTATTCACAATCTACATAATGTGACATATTGAACAAAAATCATAATGTTATATGGTGAATTTTATAATGATATATTTATGGACAATTTTTATACGATGTACTACTTTACTAATAAAAAGGTGGGCATAAAAAAGAACTTCACTTCTTAAGGACAGCGTAGAGTTGTTATGTTGTGCGCGCTACTTATAAGTAGTATATGACGCGCGACTGAAAACGTAATGTCTGGCAGCAGAAGAGGATGGGGGAAGATCAAGAAAGGAAAAGTGGGAACACAATGGAATTTGTATGAAACGCATGAATAAGTGAAATGTCAGACAATGTGTAGTGAAGGAGAACACAGGTGGGGCAACCGAATGTATTTAGCGAAAATTAGAGTTACTCAGTAAAATCGGGGAAAACCATATCGTAAATCGTTCATTTACAAAATATCAGTCCATCCTATCGAAATGGACTGTTCCTGTTGCAAAACATCAATCCATTGTCACTATTCATGTGTTTCATACAAATTCCATTGTGTTCTTCTAACTCTTCCTTACTTGATCTTCCCCCATCTTCTGCTGCCAGACATTACGTTGACACTCACGCCATATACTACTTATAAGTAGGGTTTTTTATCATTACTATTATTAGTATTATTATTAACGGCTTTGTTCCACAGTATAGGTTTAGTACAATGTGGAATTAGTCAGTCAGCTACAATGTGAGACTTCGTACGTACGTACGTACGTACCACATTAACACAGAGATCTCACTGCCAATTCAAATCCCATGCAGGTGGTTGATGTAGTAAAAGTATTAATGGTAATGGAGAAGATCAGACTTCGAAGATATGATTCAACAAGTATGCTAATCCATACACATTGGACTGGCAACATGCTTAAGAGAATACAAGTGTGTTGTTGATTAGATCGACTTTCAACATTTGTTTGTTGCATAGTATATTGACTAAATAAAGTAACTGTAGAATTTTGATACTTTTTGCTTACGTGCATAGATTTGAATGTATCAACGTCACATTCTACTAGAAGATATACAAGAAGAAATATATATGGATTCATTGGATGATTGATATCTGATGAGATAATACACACTAGGCAAGAGTTTGTAAGTTTTTAAAATATCTATTCACTATTATAATGTAATAACCTAAAAAGTCAGTCAGTCAGTCAGATGCAACGTACAACTTCGTACGTAAGTACATCAGTTCATGTTGCCATAACACATCAGCACAGAAGTAATTGCGAATTCAAATCAAATAGTAGAAGAGGTAGTATAGGTATTAGAAGTAATCGGAGAGGTTAAGATTAGAAGATATTATTCAAGAAGTATGATTCAGTGATAAAAGTTTAGAAAGACAAAACTAGAGGTGTTGAAGAACCCAGAAGATTAGGATTTGAGAAAACACAAAGAATGTATGCACCGGCGCCATTGCGGACGATTTCGAGCCATGATGTCATTCAAGGTCTCTAACCATCGATTATTATCATCTCGCAGACCCCAACCAGGTAGTCGACAATTACCGACATGGCTAAGTCCACTCGTCAATGACTTACTGGATTTCTGCCAATTGATCTCTCATTCTTACGTAATACCCTTTTCTATGGTGAATCTTTTTTTTAATAACCTAAAAAGATTGACCATGGAAAAGGGTATTACGTAAGAATGAGAGATCAATTGACGGAAGTAGTGAATGTTCATTAGTTGAGGTGGTTGGAACGTGTGTCACAGTTTGTCCAACCATCGACTGCCTCGATGAGCAATGTTTTGTGGTGTAGGGGTAGGTTGGAAGAAAGTTAGTGGCGGCTGGTCCAAAGCAAAACACAAATTCATAAAGTCGTTGACAGTGTGCTGTTACGGGTATAAGGGCGGTTGTCACTTCCCGGCTGCCCACACCGTGGAAGGTTGTTTCTAGAGGAACCTGAAAAAGAAGGTAGATTAGACCTGTGTGCGTGACCGCAGAGCCCAAGGGACAACTGCTTGAGGCCGGTCACACACGGCCTTTTTATGAAGAGTTCTTTGAGTATTAGCTCCGATTTTGAAATCGCTTAGTGGGCACCCTTACCGACGAAGACGGAAATCTGTTAGGTAGGGTGATGTGTGACATTTTTAGGGTCGACCTTTTCTAACCCTTCCTTCCTCGTCAGAAGGCATCATCTCTGAAGATGCTGGTTGTCCGAGGGAAACACCTTACTGCTGTCACACCTCTTTGCAGTCAGCAGTACGACTTCGCCCTAAGACCTTGAGTAGCTGCTTTTAGTCTCATCGTTCTCCAATCGGACCTGCCTGGCATGGTAGAACCTTCAGGAACATATGTTCCAGCCAGTATAGCTCGGCTGGATCATCACGATAGTCAAGCCCGACCACCACGTCAAGGTAGCAACTACGGTCGGGGAAAGTCACTGACAATTTGAGTGAGCCATATTAGTAATATAGATTAGTAAGTTGGGGTCCAGGAGATGATAGCCACCGATAGTTAGAGACTTTGAATGATATGACTCAAAATCGTTTGCAATGGCGCAGTTGTATCCATTTTTTGGCTTCTCTCAAATCTTAATCCTCTGGATTCTTCATCATCTCTACTACTATGGGATTTGAATTGACAGTTTGACCTCTGTGTTCTAATGCGGTACGGCAACTTGAACTGAAGTACGTACACCTACGAAGTTCTACGTTGTAGCTGATTGACTGACTGACTGAACTAGCTAAACGAACAAGAAGGTTCTTACACCATACTAATATTTTATGAATTATGTTTTGTAGATTTCCGTTTCTGGTTTTGCCGTATTCAATGAGTAAATTGCCACATCCTTACTTCTTTGTTTCTGTGATGTCATGACTACTAGTAACCATCTCTACATAATACACATTCAGAATACAGTGTGTTATGCGGAATGATAAAAGTTTTGTAAAAAAAAAATCAGTACGACCAATTAGTTAGTTCTCAAGATTTATTTATCTAAACACCAACATCTAACTTGAATGAAATGAGTGTATTTTATACGGTTGTTGAAAGAGATCACATTTGCCAGCATAGATTATTCAAAGTGGAACTTGGGCTAGCATTTCGGTATATATAAGCCAGATCAATAACATAGCCGTGACTCGACTTGAAGTCAATCAGCAACAACGTAGAACTTTGTACGTACGTACATCAGTTCATGTTGCCATTAACACACAGAAATCGAATCCCATAGTGAGAGAGGTAGTAATAAGTATATGCAGTCATCGAAAAGATTAGTGTTCCGAGATATTGGTTCAAGGTTCTGTAGCTGCTCAACAATGAGCAGTCAGTCAGTTGCAACGTAGAACTTCGTACGTATGTACATAAGTTCCGGTTGCCATACCACATCAGCACAGAGAAGCAAATGTCAAATCAAATCACATAGTGATAAAGATAGTAGAGGTATTAATGGTAATGAAGAAGACTAGGGTTTGCAGATATTATTCAAGAAGTATAATTCAGTGAGATAACATTAGGAAGAGAAAGGTAGAGGTGCTGACGAATCCAGAAGATTAGAATTTGAGAGAGCACAACGAATAGATGCACTTGCGCCATTGCAAACGATTTTGAGCCATGTCATTCAAGGTCTCTAACCATTGGTGACTTCAACAATGAGCAACAAACGTAGGATAGGAGTAAATTATTGATAGATGTAATTTGTATGACAAAATTGAATGCAATGCATACAAGAATATTATATCATAATAATGATATACCTTTGTTTCACTACCAGGTACTATCAATTCAATTTGAACATCATACGATTGTCGAGAATTAGCATGCATAAGAACACGTCCATTGAGTGATTGACCTTCTTGAACAAATAATGGTGTTCCCAAAAGACAACGAACCTGATTGAATTTCAAATGGGAATAATCATAACAGGAAAAAAAGGGAATGATAATGATATATAATAACGTTTTGATATTTGACAAGATTTATGAAATTGAAGTATTTCTGCGGAAAAAAAATGTTTATTAATTTAAAGAGTTACACCCCGAACATTTGATCTTGAGGTCTAATCCACAAGGTGGTAGAGTAAAGTCAGTAGATGCAGAGTTACCTAATAGCTGATGACCAACAATAGGTTGCATACTCTGTCTGTGATTTCATGATCATGGAGCTCATGCGCACCATTAGTTTGGAATCAAAATTTTCCAACTCAACCCTAGGTGGAACCTCCGTAACCACAAACTAGATCAAAGCGCCAGACATTTTCTTTTCGTTCACTCAGTCTTGGTAAACAACACCGTTGCGACGAGAAGGCACTGAGTGGGACTTCCCTAACAGTGGTTATGTACTTATGGCCATACGAGAACATTTCGAGAGAGAGAGAGCAGACTCTTCCCACTCTAGCCTACACTAGAGCTTTTGGGGGGCTCTATATGAACTTGGTTTAGTAAATATCGGTTTTTGAGGGGGACAGTTATAAAGATGTCTTTAGTCTCTAATGGATTTCTAGCCGATACTAGTGTCTGTGATTTGTGTTTTTGTCAATGAAGCATAACTTTTTTGCGAGGCATAGTGAAACCACTTACCCTATCTATTAAATATACATAAATGTGTATACAAATATGAAAGCACAGACCCGACACATTATCAAATCACACTCAATGATTAAACTAACCTATTTTCCCGATAAGCGAATATTGTTCTGCGCTGGTTTAAACAACAAAGAGGAAATTATTTTTTTTTACGAATGAATCTTAAGTGATGAGATATTGAAAACTTAATACACGAACATTTATATATAGAATACAATTTTTTTTTCAAAACTTTTAGTAAAATTCATTTTTTGTCTTACCTGATACCAATGAGTAAGTGGTTCAGTTGGTGCAGTTGACAACCAAACATCTCGTTGAGAACCCAAAAAGCCAACATCAAACCAAAATGCCAAACCGTGAATCTGAATTTGTATTGAACAACAAGGAAATGATGATGGGAGAAGGAAAGCTAAAAGTTACAATTAAACTATAGAATGAGTTAGTAATTATTTACATTGACAATATTTAATATGTGAGAGGAAACTTACTTACTTACTTACTTACGCCTGTTACCCCCAATGGAGCATAGGCCGCCCACCAGTTTTCTCCAACCAAAACTGGTGGGCGTGAGAGGATAGCTACGGTATTTTATATTTTTAATTACAGGCTAAGATATTAGTCAGTCAGTCATTTAGTCACGCTGACAAAATGCAGAGTCTGCTGACTACCCTAAGCAACAATGCAACCATGTTCGGGATGCGGTCCTCACCCTCGAAATGCAAAATATTGTTGATTCAAGACTGGGTTGCATCGGCACCTGAACTAGTGATAGGGAGTGAAGTAGTCGAACGTGTAGACCGAACGAAATCTCGGCACGGATACAGACTGACTAAAGGACGAGTGTACTGTGCAGTAGTTCGCTCCGTCTTACTTTATGGCTGTGAAACATGGCCAGTCAGAGTAGAAGATATTCGTAGGTTTCTGGTTTTCGATCATAGGTGTCTTCGAAGTATTGATCGTATATCCTGGGACACCCGAGTGAGCAACGCTGTTATTAGGAAACGGGTGCTAGGTAAGAATGGCAGATCAATAGATGAAGTGGTGAAACTTCATCAGTTGAGGTGGTTGGGACATGTGTTGCGTATGCCCAACCACCGACTGCCTCGACGAGCTTTGTTTTGTAGTGTAGGAGTAGGTTGGAAGAAAGCTAGGGGCGGCCAAACTAAAACATGGCATAAATCCATGAAGTCATTGACGATTGGACTTAGCCATGTCGGTAATTGTCGACTACCTGGTTGGGGTCCGCGAGATGATAATGATCGATCGTTAGAGACCTTGAACGACATGGCTCAAAATCGTTTGGAATGGCGCAAGTGCATCCATTCTTTGAGCTCTCTCAAATCCTAATCTTCTGGATTCGTCAGCACCTCTACCTTTGTCTTTCTAACCTTATCTCACTGAATCATACTTCTTGAATAAGATCTTCTAATCCTAACCTCTCCGATTACTTCTAATACCTTTACTACCTCATCTACTATTTGATTTGAATTCGCAATTACTTCTCTGTGCTGATGTAGTATGGCAACATGAACTGATGTACTTACGTACGAAGTTTTACGTTGCATCTGACTGAGAGTCATTTAGTCAACTCCAACATAAAACTTGGTATATACGTACATCAGTTTAAGTTGTCATACCACATAAGCATAGAGAGATGGAATTGTCAATTCAAACTCACGGTAGTAGAGGTAGTTAAAGTATTAATGGTAATCAAAAAGATTAGTGATCGAAGATATCATTCGAGAAGTATATACCAGTGAAACAAATTCAAAAAGAGAGAAGAAACTGTCATGAGGAAATCGGAAAATTAAAATTTGAGAAAAGGCGAGGAATGGATGCATCCGCACCATTGCAAATGATTTGAGTTATGTCATTTAAAGTCTCTAACCCTAAGTTGCAAGCGAACCCTAGCCTGGTAATCTATATCTACCAACATGGCTCAGTCCAGTTCTCAACGATTTCGTGGATTCGTGTCTTGTTTCGGTTTGATCACCCCTAGCTTCGACCTACATCACAAAACATGGTGGTGTAGATGTCTTTGGAGCATTGCTTAAATATCCTGGGACCACTGAGTAAGCGATGCTGGTGTTAGGAAACGGGTACTAGATTAGGATAGTAGATTAATTGATGAAGCAGTAAAACTTCATCAATCGAGATGGTTGAGACATGTGTGACGTATGCCCAACGACCGACTACCTCGACGAGTGTTGTCTGACGTAGGAATAGGATGAGAGAAAGTTAGGGACAGCAAGACCAAAACATAGCACAAATCCTTGAAGTCATTAACAACTAGACTGATGCATGTAAGCAGGTTTAGACTGCCTGGTTAGGATCTGCGTGACAATAATAATCGATGGTTAGAGACCTTGAATGACATGGCTCAAAATCGTTCGTGATGGCGCAGGTGTATCTATTCTTTCTATTTTCACATGACTTCATTAAATACCCCTAATATTATTCGATAATATCAATCAATGTCAAACTATACAAAAAGAAAATTTATCGATACCAACTGAATTGTAAAGCCAGTACCCAAATCAGTGTAAATGAGACTAGTACTACTACTACTACTACGACTACTAATCGACCACTCCCGACTATATATGTTATCTTGACGTGGTGGTCGGACTTGCGCCTATCGTGATGACCCAACCAAGCTAAATTGGCTGGAACATATGTTCCTGTAGGTTGTTCCACCATGCCAGACAGGTCCGATTGGAGAACAATGAGACTAAAAACAGCTAGCTATTCAAGCTACTCTAAGGGCGACCACTACTATTGAATTTCAGTTAATTATGAAGTAATGACACATACTCGGTAAACACTTTTTTAAATACAATTTTCAATGTATACAAAATATGATTTTTTGAATTAAATCACAATTTGTGCACTTAAAACACCTATGATTGGTCGAAAAAGACAGAAATACACACGTACACGGACTTGATTTTAGTTTACAGTATGAAAGAAAAGCGATTGGCAAGTTTAATAATAAAGACACTTTATCATTATTATTATTATTATTATTTTAACAAATGAAAATGGAACAAGAGTACTTACTGTAGAACAAGTTGTAATTTGATAATGTAACGAAATATCAATGGAACTTAATTCCGATTCGGATACAGTACGAAAATCAACTTTGTGTATACATGGTAATGCTGGACAAATGCCAATATCAAATGTATCAACTATAGGTTGATTAAAATATTCTGTAACGGCAGCATTACGTAGTGCAGTTAAATCCATACCATGAAAACTCTAGTTTGAAAAAGAAGTATGAATAATTTTTTAAAAAAACCTGTAAACGACAATGCAGTATAATAATATACTTTGAGGAGAAGCAATAATAGTGATAGGATTTTGACTTTTTTTTACTTCAGATTTCCTATAGCGTTTTCAACTGCATTAAGAGTCGAAGGACTTACATCAACTGGCCATTCAGGTCGATTGGAGATTATGGGTAACCGGAGTATGGCTAAAGGTCAGTTGAACAAGCTTCTTATCAGCCACTGCTTAAGCTACCTTTGCTCCTCATTATATTCGGAATAAAATGTGAACTTCCTAGCATTTATCAGTTCAGTAGATACCACTGAAATTCATTGGTTTCTCCTTATTGTTAGATGTGACTTACTGGCAGATTGGACAGTTGTTTCCACAGCTTTTTCAATGTTTTTTCATCGCTAACAAGGTTGTCTGACTTTTTCTAGTTGCCCTCAAAATGTACTCTTGGTTTTTTTTATCGTCAAATACAAGAGGTTTCCTTGCTGTCTTTCTTATGTTCAGTGAGTCCCAGACAAATATATGCACACATTATAGCATGATTCGAGTCTCAACACGTGGCCCAGAATGAGCAGCGGTCTTCTAGCTAGCCTCTCTATCGGTGGCTGATAGCAATGTGGTTTAACCGGGTCCAGTGTTGAGGCGACTTTGGGGGTCTCCATATTAAAAGATGTTTTTCTTTGTGTTTAAAGTTGGTATTTGCATAGCTGCAACAGACGATCGCCATTATCTGTTCTTTGAGCCACGGCCCCATAAGATCCACCCAGAAGTATTTCCTTTTCATTTAATCAACCTACTTGAGCATTTAAGTCACCCGCTAATGATACTACATCAGAGCGCCTAACATTTTGGAGGTCCGAAAGCTCTTCGTAAAACTCATCTTTTACTTCATCTGAGATGCAATCAGTCGGAACATAGGCAGATACGACGAAGAGGCAATGGCGAGTCCCCCTATCTTCTCGAGTCCTGATTGTCCCGTTCAGTAAGACAACGCACAAGCAACCGTCTACAAGGATCCAGTCTAAAAGAGCTGCTTTTGCCCTAGGATTTATTGCTATACCTACAGCAAGGCCATGGGAAACAACAGTGTCTTCCAGATTCATGAAGGGTAAATCGCGACGGTTCTTAATTTTTACATCGTGAGGTCGAATGAATGACTACTCAGATCCTGTATGCGCGTTTCGAAGAAGTAGCATACATTAATGGCGCTAGGTTCTGAAGTCATAGCTAAGGAAGCTTGTTGTCCTATTTGGCACAAGGCTTAAACATGAAAGGCTCCAACCAGCAGTTTACAGCATGGTCTCAGGAGACCGGAAATATTTCATGAGCTCAAATCATTAGCAATAGCGGCGTAAGGTGATAAAAATATGAGAGAATTGTTAAGCTATGACGACAATTAGTAGGTGTCGACTACCTGGTTGTGGTCCGCGAGATGTTAGTAATCGATGGTTAAAGACCCTGAATGACATGGCTCAAAATCGTTTGTAATGGCTCAGGTGCATTCATTCTTTGTGTTCTCTCAAATCCTAAACTTTTTAATTCTTCATCACTTAATCTCCATCTTTTTAAGTCTATTTCACTAGATTCTACGTCTTGAATAATAACTTCTAATCTTAACCTCTCCGATTACTGCGAATACTTCTACTTCATCTACTACTATTGGATTTGAATTGACAATTACAGCTCTGTGCTAACGTGGCATGGCAACATGAACTGATGTACATACGTACGTACGAAGTTCTACGTTGCTATTGATTGATTGATAAGAAAACAATTATAGCATCCTGCAAAACTATTAAACTAACCTGTTGATACCAAAAATTAGCTTTTCCATACTGTTCAGCAAAGAGTGCTTCATCACTGAATGGAACAATATACAAATTTGCTACAGATGGAAACATTGTTCCAGGACATGGTAATGATTTATTTGATAATTTTACCGATCCATCTTGCACCTGATCTTCTATGTCAATATCTTCACAGTCCAAATCATCAGTTAATACTTCATCAGAATGATCAGAATCGGATAAGTGTTTAACATATGGTGATTGATCATCTTCGCTAAGTCGTTCACGTCTGTTCCGTTTCTTTTTTATTGGTTGTCGAAGATGTGGAGCTAGAAATTTTCTTGCATGCACATACGATTCTAACATTCGTTCGTTGTATAACATATAACCCATTGGTTCAGATATAATAACATCCACCGGTTCGGGTAAAGTGATTTCTTCTATTTTCCCACTAAGATTAAAAAAAATTTCAGTAAGTTTCAGGGTTGATAGATTAATTCCAAGATTAACAGTAAAATGTGAACCTGATTTCCAAACAGATCTTTTATGTAAACCACATCCATGAAAAGTGAAATCATGAATCGATCAATGTTAGACCACTGTTATAAACCAGGAAGCATTGAAGATTATGGGACCGATTGGCAGTGCGCATCCACGATATTAACACCGCTGGATGCCAACTTAGTGGTCTAAAGGTTAGGCGTTCGCACGAGAAACCAAGGGTAGTGGACTTGACCCGCACGTATGTCCAAACCAAAAAAATGGCAGAAATCCATGTTGGTAGGTGCAGACTACCTGGTTGGGTCCGCGTGACCAAAGTAACCAATGGTTAGAGACCTTGAAAGACATGTCTCAAAATCGTTTTCAATGGCACAGGTGCATTCACCCTTTGTATTATCTCAAATTCTAACCTTCTGAATTCCTCATCATCTATCTTTCTCTTTCTAGAGTTATCTCACTGAACCATACTTCTCCATTACCGCTAATTATTCTATTATCTGACAGTTTCATCTCTGGGCTAATGCGATATGGCAACCTGAACTTATGTACGCACATACGAAGTTCTACGTTGTAACTGACATACCACGTGCGGGGATCTTGTATTTACATTGCTGAAGAGTCCTACACTAGGAGGAAACGGCCTTCCAGTGCTTCCTGGTTTTTAATAGTGGTCTAGCATCGGTCGATTCATCATTTCAAAGATATCCAACAATCCCTACAACCCTACACTGAAAACTATAAAAATACTAATACACCTCAAATTTCATGAATTCAGGCTCAACTTGAGTGCTAGTAACTTCTTTAACAAATATAGAAATGACGAAGGGATTGATGTCATAGTATGTTAGCCTTCAGTGCTAAATCGATAACTTAGTAGCACGGTATGGATTTTGTGTGCCCTAATACTGCGAAGACTATTATTAGGGTATTAAACCTTTACATATATTGATACTTGCAACATGAATAGTGCATTAAATCAGTAATATCTGAACTGATGATGTCTAAATCTGTATATTATTGAAAAGAAGCGTTTAAAACATTTCTGATTAATGCAATCCAGTTTAAGTTACATATGTAATCATCAAGAAAACGTCATTAAAATGGAGTCAATACTGATAAGCAGATGTTGCACAAGTAATTAACATGTACATAAAAGCCGAAAACTCCTAAACAATTACTCCTCATAGACGAGGTATCTAGTTTGATCAACAACTGCAGATATACAACCGATCCACTAATCCTTTATTAAAAATAAAACTACCAAAATAGTTAGTATTTACAATGTATACCTGGGCTAAAATCAAATATTTAATCACAAGCCATTTAACACACACAATATCACTGACCTGATGACAACAATACGTCCAGCTAATTTATTTGCTTGAACCAGACTATTACAATGCGTAGCCATATTCGATGCTTCCACGGCATAAACCCTTGTTGCACCTGCTTGAATTGCAAAGAAGCTTAGAATTCCTGAACCTGCTCCAACATCCAATACCACTTTCCCACGAAAATCAACGGAAGCATTAGCGAGGATAGCTCTTTGATAGGTTGAAGTGCGGATATAATCCTAGGGGAAAAAAAAATGAGTCAAGCAGAAGTAAAAAAAAAGTGTACACCAGTGAATCATCATCTCACATGTAATCAAAATGAGGGCTGGACAAATTTTTTTGGAGATTGATCGTTCTTTCATAGACAATACACAGGTTGCGCACGTGTCTAACTCAAGATAAGCAAATAATTCGAATTACATGTTGGTCAATAAAAAATGAACAGTATTGTGTCTAGAAACGAGATGGCTGTTAAGCTTAGAAAAATATGTCTTGATTGAAACTGAGTTTGAAAATTGCATAAGATTAGGTAGAGATTAAGATGTTGTGACTTTGTCTTTGAGCAACAAGAGCAATGCATATGCAGAATAATCACAAAAACTCAGTATATTCGAGTAGTTACTCATTATCACTTGTATTCCAAACACACAGCTGATAGGCTGATAGTCACAAATGATCGAGGTGGCAAAGTATGAACTTATGGTAGCGTTGTACCGTTAGTGGATATGCTTATCGCAAATAACACAAATAGAAAATAACCATGCAGATGATTTCTAATGTTGAATACATGTGGTCAGTGTGTATGAGCACCAAGGAAGACAATCTATATTCATATGCAAAGGAAGCATTAACCACTCTAAGCATCGGAAATTTAGACATGAGGAAAGATGCTACTCAAGTTGTCAGTTAACAGTACGGATGTCAAAGCAGAACATCACAGGAATGAATCAGTCTACATTACTGCATTTTGAGGGGAATGAGAGAATTCTGTACACTGGACAGGTTAATAGTTACTATGTCGATGTCTTTGAAAAACACACCATCCTCAGCCCACTTCTGAGTACGCCTTCATCTCCTGTTCATTTGCGAGATTAAATACTCTACTATCTGTTTGATAACGTTAAAATGTGTGGTTTTAGTACTCTTCGAAAAAAACCTGTCAAGCACAGAACTGCAATAAACGATGACATGCCAAACGAATGGATGGATGATTTCTATAGACGTCATAATCTGTTGAGTGTATATTGAATTATCCTAGCCACTTTATTATTTTTGAGAGAATTTATAAGCAGCTTTTGTAAGCTCTTAATCTGTCTATATTAGCTTGATTAGTTAGCATGGACTGGAGCTGTGTCAATCAGCTACAACATAGAACTTTGTAAGTACACCAGTTTAAGTTGCCATACCAAATCCCACAGTAGTAAAGTAGTAGGAGCAGACTAACAATGTTCTACTTTTCAACTCAAATCAAGAGACCTTAAAATAGAAAGAAAGGTTATGACACTTGAATACAAGTAATTAACCCGAATATTACCAGAATTTCTGTAAACATACCTGCATCATATTTTGCTGCTGACTGATGTAACTATAAAACTGGAAATATTGTACTGCAGACCATGAATCAGTACGCCTATCAAAAATGGAAGCGCAGACCTCCTTTTTGTTTTCCTCACAACGTGGTTTTAATATATCGGCAGAATTCTGCAATTAACTAATGAAATATAGAACTTACTAAAAAACTACGGACATCTCCAGGAGAATCGAATGCTAACAAATACGTAGTGAAGACAGCATCCCCAACACATTTTTTCGTACAAATTGCCACTGTTTTCTGTGAGAAACGATATATGTTAGCCAAGGAAGAAACATGGATTTCCTTAACAGTTTCATTATGCCTACTGTCGTAGCAATGTGAACATGTCAATGAATTTACCGAAAGGAAATGACTTTGGAGTTTCGTAATTCGACTGTCAACCCAGTTCCAAGTGTCCGACAAGTGAATTGAGCCTCATCAAACATACGAAGCTCAACATTATGATACTCCACGGACATGCCTGTACGCCCAACTCAATTTCCCCGGGTACGAACTTGAAAGCATCGTTTCAATGTCCAAAAAGGCCTAATATCGTAACTGCCAGGTGTTGCAGTCAAGGTATGAAAATCTCATAATCCTTTCATTTCTTATACTTTCAAACGTTTCTACAGAAATTATAGCTAAAATTTAAAATAGAGAACTTACTGTTTCCTTGTTAATTTCTCTGTAAGGTAAATATGGATATTGTATCCACCATTAACCTAAAGGAATAAACTATTGGTTGAAGAGATATTGTCGATATCGAGCTTACTGGAAATTTATCTGAATGTGACTATCCTAAATATTTACCGACATTCTTGAAATTTCTTTCATGCTGAGTCTCAGTATTTTCTTAAACGAAATCACAACTGATGCTGCCTACGTGCATCTACTTGCTTGCTCGCACATCTCTGTGCCGTTGTATTTTAAACCAGTGACGGTGTCCTCATCGTTTTTATGTACTTCTAACTGTTGGTATGATTTATTTCTTATTTACTAATGCATTTATATGGATAAAATGTATGTTATTAGAAAACCACATCGAAGAAACATCCGCAAAATCATTAGTTTACTAGCAGATAACACTTGAAGACAAACGGAGACAAACTTAAGGAAACAGGAAACAAGTTTCATGTCTTAGTCAACAGTAAGGCTAGAAAGTATTTATTAGTCTTAAGCTGAAGTGAAAGCTAGAAACGACAAAACTGTTATTTATAAATATGTCTCGATATTTTAGTGTTGACAACTCAATTAAACAACAACTGTTGGAACCCATAGAAAATCTTTAGATAAAGTCTTCGAAATCTAGGGCTAGATTGCGAACTTATTTTTTATAGCATATGGATAACGTACATCATGTGTTACGGGAGAAATGAGGAGAGTAAACTGTCTGACAAGTACCAGTTGTTGTCATACTTGTCATACTATTATAAAGGAAAGGCCAGAACGGCTATTGAAGCTTGTAATTCCTTGCCCAGTAACTTGGGTTACGATAGAGCTAAACAAATTCTGTATGATCTATTTGGTAAAGAATATCTTGTTGCTGGTAATCTTATTACTGAATTACTTAGCCACAAATCTGTTGAAGGATCCGCCGATGGCCGAACTGACTTCGCAATTAAGCTACGTAATGTAAGCATAACATTAAAGGAAACGGGGTATATGTCTGATGTGAATTCTACGGCTAATCTGGAAATAATTGTGTCACGTTTACGCCTAGAATTACAGAGTAAATGGATGGCAGCTGTTGATAGGATCATGATGACTGGTAGGGAGCCGATCTTTGAAGAATTGGTGGTGTTTGTAGAAGAAAGAGCCAGAATTGCGCAATCGCGTTTTGGTAGATTATAATATATTTATTCTCAAATAACTACGTTACAAGAGTCAAGCCAGTTTACAGGCTAGATCAAATTGTCACAAATGCTTAAACAGTTACTGTAAAAGTTATAGCAGTTAAATTAAGTATAAGAGTCAGTTTCTGATAGCATATTTACACCATGTCACTGACAGAAACAGTATAATACAGCCATATTTTCAATAGTAGAGTACAAATAAGGAAGGAAGCTGCACATTAGGTTCATTTGGCGATTTGCCGAGATCAATAGTGAATTTGTTGGGAAAGGTCATATGGAACGCGCTTGATACGAGCTGTGATCCAGACAGTCATGTACATAGGGTGCATGTTCCCTAGAGTCGCCAAGGATTTCCCACCGCGAATAGGATTCTGAAAAGGAGAAAAGAGAGAGAGAAAAAGGCAGCAGTGTGGCAAGTTATATATATAACCAAAGCACTACTTAACCTGTCATGTTGAAGTAGTCGATACAGCAGTAAGTCAAGATAACATTCATACTGACCAGTAAAATTAAAGTAAATTATGGGAATATAAGAATATTACCCACAGATAAAGGAGTACAGCAAATTAGAAGGAAGAGTTGTGCAGTGTCAGGTGGATAGAAGAGAAGTCGAATTAAGAAGCTGGATTTATGTACGTTAAAATCGAAAGAGTAGAGATTGTAAAAAGAAAACTTTGATGAATAAAATTTTGCGCTGTCTGTTTTTATTATTATTATTATTGAATGCCAACCTCTAAGTCATACTGATAGCGCCTGAGTAAGAATGTTGCAGGTGTCTCGACAGAATAGCGACGGACGGAATAAAGCCTATGTTCGGAACCCTTCACTTAGGGTAAATTATATGACGGGACCTAGAGTAGATTCTAGGATAAGTGATGGCGGTACTGTAAAGGCTAAGAAGCCTAGGAAACAACATGATGCTACTATTATTAAGAAGCCTAAACATCATTCTCTTTCGGATGCTATGACTAGCAATGGAAATAGTAGCCATCAGAGTCTTAGTAGTGACAGCGATAGTAAGGAGACAGAAGGTGTGAGCAGTCCACTTACAGTGACTAGTCTATCAACTTCATCGAACGAGCCTTCTAGTGTTTCGACGTCGTCGGACCTTGTCGCGAATGTTAAGTTGATTGAGGATATACAAGGTTGTGTAACTGTAAGTGTTCCTACTTCGGTTGACTGTCAGTCAAGTGATGATGAAAAGGAAGCGTCTGATGGTAACAGTCAGTTTACAGTGTTGCATGATAACGATGCTATTGATGTGCATACGTCTTGTGTCTCTGAAACGGAACATGAAGAACAACAAGTGAGTTTATCGGCTTTGGATTGTGACACTAATGCTGTTCTTTCATGTAGTGATATGAGTTATACAAAAATGGAAGAGTTCCACTCTACGGATGCTAGTGCAGACCGAATCGACGCGACTTGTCTGACAGAACGGAATCATGATGACGTTGATAATAATCTGGATGTCACTGATGTGACAAATGAGTTGTCGACGATGACGAATGCTGATCAAACCTCCTCTGTATCAGGAGATGGAGAGATAAATATTGGTCCCATGTTATGCTACTTAAAGTCTTCTGGAGACGACGAAATGTCAAAATTGGAGATCCCACCCTTGCATATTATCTATGGGTCAAGAACTTCTGTTGATAAGTCAGCATCACGGACTTCATTGTATCTACTGATCGGAGCAAGTGGTGGTGGATTGACGACTCATCCCCATGATATGGAATGTAGTTCCCGGATAGGATATGACCAGTTTTACGACGTGTCGTACATGTTCGTGTGGGTTAATTGGGTAAGGTTTATACTACCGTTAGGTCATGCTACGATAGATAGGGGAATCAAGGGCCTGATGGGAAGGTATAGGTACCTAGTTAGCTTGATAGGTCATATCCATGTTGGATGGCGGGTAGGCGTACTGCTGTAAGTCCTACACGTTCTTCCGGTGTGGATTAGGGGATGAGTGGGAACCCTAAATTGAAGTGTCATTAACGCTTGCCTTTTTGCATGGAGGGATTTTGCGGGCCGGTGTAGAATCCTTTTTGAATGTTTTGTTTTTTGGAAAATCCCTCCATGTTTACATATTTTTGTTATGACATGACGGACTTTTTCTGTTGATATTTTTGGTATTTTATTTGATTCCAATTTGAGATTTTATCATTGTATATTGTTATTCTTTCTATATTTTGTACTTATATTGAAGTTTTTGTGTTTTCTTCTGATCTGTATATATGTTGTTTAAATTTGATCTCTAATATGGCTACAGCCATATTTGGATTGATACAGTAGCCGTTGGACTTAACGTCACTTATCTATCGTTGTTTCGGATACTCTTCGGAGTAATTGTATCCTGGAAGAGGCATTATTTCCAGGTACTGCTTTGTATTTCCATGTTTTTATTAATAAAGACCACTTTCTCCTAGAATTTTTGCTTTATCGGGACCTTGGACTGGGAGAAACGAGTTCAGGAGTGCACCTATTGGAACCCATTGGAACGGCCACCGTAGAAATCCAGTTACAGTGTATGCAGAGCTATTAATATGAAAGCAGGTTGTGAGTGAGTTCACGAGTGCCTAAGAGTCAGTTCAACTGAGAGCATCATTAAGAAGTTGAACAAACTCATGTAACCCACTTGCCATGCGTATTTTTTAGGGAAGCCTATTCCGTATAAGTGCATACTTAGAGAGGAAGAAGTTTTCTCGAGTTTTGGATCTATACTTCTCAAGTTTGACCGTAGATACTTTATCTCGAAGGTTATGTGTACATGGCCACGGATAAGGACTAAACTGCAGGAGGAATATGTGAGCTTGTGCAGGAGTTTAAAATAAAGGATCAGATTGGACTTAAGCCTTCTTTTCCATAATGGATCGAGCCCGAGTTCAATACATCGGGTTGGATAGTCAATGGGTGAGCTATGATTTAGGACTTTCCGAGTAAATTTCCTTTGTATTCATTCAAGCTTCAACTTATCAGAAAGGCGTAGGTTAGAAAATAAGAAAGAGCAGTATTCAGCAATAGGTCTTACGCATGTTTTATAGAGAATTGTTCCGGATTCTCTATGAAGGGAGTTACGAAAGATGAAACCAAGCATTACTTACAATGCCCATAGAGAATATCTCGATGAATTGGTTTGATAACGTTTCAGCCTTTGTTAAATCTGACTATCTTTCGTGAGCGATAAAGCTTCTTGCTATGGTCTTTAAACACATATTCCGAATTCTCAGGTATTTACCGTTTAATCATTCACTACTCGTTGGTCGGAACAAACCCTCAGGTATTTCCTGTGCAATAGTATTTTCCGGGTTCTCATACTGATCTACGGAGGGCAGCGTGAGGAACTAATTATCGACCACGGGATGAACCGGAATATTACATGTCCGAATATGATTTTAAACGTATCCCACTCATTTACAATGACCAATCAGAGCGCTGAGACAGCGCAGTCCTTGACTACCGGGATATTAGAGAGTCATACAATGGGACGGAGTGCAGTAGACACAAAATGTACATCATATGTTTGAAAACTAAAGTTGACTACTATGTGGTCACCAATTGCTAACAATATTAGTAATTTATTCTCAAAGAACGTGTTAAAAGGGGTGTATCAATTTACAGGCAAGACCAAAATGTCAAACTTGATAATACATTTTCTGTAAATCGTTGTCCACTTGGATAAGTAAATCACAAGATACACTGGCTTCATACTGAGGGCTAATATTTTTGACATAAAACTTAGAATCGATGTAGTTACTGAATGTCGACGATATCATCACTGTGATGTGTAAAAAATGGGATCCACTAGTTATGGTGCCTGTTCTAAGTCGTTATGTTTAAGTGCAAATTGACTGTAAGTTAACAGCAGGCTTACTTCGAAACATCCACCTGAAGTTGTAAGCTCTATCCAACTGATGTGTGGTGTGTTGAACTCTTCAAGGACTACCCATTAATACTCCGAAATACAAGCACAAATATATCTTGGAATAAAGTCATCAGCAATACAACATGTACTACGGCATATCCTTCCTTTGGTCACCAACACATATCTGGACTTCAATATACAACAAGCACCAAGTGCCACTATCATACGCTTCTGATGTGCTGATTGCACACTAAAGTGATTTCTGAGATAAAAATAGATTCTCCTACCTTGTGACTGATAACTCCGTCACCGATAACGCAGATATATCCTGTATTGATTGGGGAACAGTCTATGTTTATACGATAAGCACTGTGTAGGTACACAATTCGTCCGTCATGAAACTGAGCTCAGACCTTCGGTATCTACGAGTGTTAGTCCTTGTTTAGCACACACTAGCGTAGATTTGACAATCACTCGTTCTACCCATATAGGTCACTAAAATTTGGCATTCCGGATACCGGCCTCAAGATACTACTAGTTTTTCTTTGGCCTCCAACCCACTTACCGAGTCCATTGTCCCTGACGATGCATACTCCTAAAACCCCATTTGATAATAAACTTAACATGACAGGTTCCACTAACTCCAGATTGTGTGCATGCTACTAAGCAGTATTTTTATCCCTGCAAATTCTAAAGGATTAAACTAGGAACCTATTTAACTTCTCTTGAGTTGTTTATGGCTTTTGATTGAGCTATCATTTCGCTTCCCCTAACAACCGGACATTTTCCTGTACTTGTCTTAGCCGCTTCGAATTTTGGACAAATCCATTCATTTACGTTGTCTGATTTTCCTTGTGCAATTTTCTGTTCTCTACAATCGCATCAGCCTTAATAACATTTCCGTGAGCGCAACAAGCGTTAAATATCATTTTAAATGGTACTGCTGGCACAATAAACGCAACTTATTTACTCCTGTTACCCCTAGTAGAGCATAGGCCTACCACCAGTAAATTACTTATCGGGTTACTGCTTTTTGCAGCGAGTTGGATTTCTACGGGATGGGGTCACTAACCCCGTACCCAACCCTAATCCTTTATCCGGCAGTAATCCTAAAAGAGCGCTAGTTTGGCTCCCTCTACGAGCATCAGTCAGTTCAGTAGATGCTACTGAAGTTCACGGCTTCTCCTCAAACTTTTAGTTTAGCTCGCTGGCTGCAGTTTCCACAGCTTTTTGTTTATCGCCACAGGTTGCCTCAGACTAGGCATCACTTAGACGGTGAGTCATAGCTTGAGCACTATAATGCGGCAGCCAACAGAGTTTTTCGACTGACTAAGAAATGCTTTAGCGGTAATGTTTCAGACTAAACAACAAGTTTCATCTTTTAACTCCTTCTTTAACTAATCGTCTGCGAGTAAAAGGCCAACTGAAATAATTTCTTCGTTTTTGAAGATTGGGGACTGAAGTGTATACTTCTGTAGGATTCTACCTCGACTTTACATTCCATTTTTGTAAACTGATGTTGGCTGAGATAAAACGTGTGAAATGAAGCAAGAAATTATATTCAGATAAGGCCACAATTTGGCAACCCGTTTCCAAACCATTAATCGCTTCATTCTAGAAACGAAGAGACACATACAAAGCGTAGTAACAGAGGGGCGACTCACCTTTCCGACACTGTCCCTAAATCTAAACAGGAAGTACCTTTGAATATTCTAGTACCACACTATCCCCCCACGGTTTGTGTTAAACTGGGTGTCGCCTTTTACTGTGAGCAATCTCCAGCCAAACAAGCATTTCATCTTCTTCTGGTTTACTCTCTGAGCATTTTTCAGTTTTTATCTGGAACTTTCTGAACCAGTTTTCTGTTTTTTGCCACAACTTCATCTGAAGAAAGCTAGTACATTATGCCTTACACCTTATAATGTTCATTGCTTTCTGCCGCCTTTTCCAAGTTGAAGGCCATCAGCAATGCTTCACCTCTTACGGGGTGTGCGCGTGCTTCAGAACACTTTCCCAATAACTTTCAGAAAATTCTCAACCAATAACGTAGAATATTTTTCTTATAAAAATTTTGTTTAGAATGTTTCAGACCTGTCGAAAATTCGCAATATCGGTATCTCTGCTCACATTGACAGTGGGAAGACTACACTTTCAGAAAGAATTCTTTTTTACACTAACAGGATAAATGAGATGCACGAAGTGAGTCCGAACCGCTTTTTATTGTTAAAGTACTATTTTTAGCTGGGGTTGATGATTAAGTATTTAAGTCACAGTTACTGTTTTGTTACGTGGCAAATAAAATTTCTAACATTAAGTCCGCTTCTCCCCTTCTACTGCTAAAATCTCCACCTTGTTAATTTTGCCTGCTTGTGTTTCTCGTAAAATTAGGGTTAAAGATGTCAAATACTTTTCCAAACTGAGCATTACTAGAACCAGTGGGATTCATCAAGATTTCTGATGTAACTAGTGTGGTTTGCATTTAGTTTCAAGACGCATCTCTTCTTTCAATGGAGGGCATTTTGGAAAGCTTTTGTAATTTTACCACTGATTTGTATACTAAGTCATGTCTAGTTTAAAATCAATCGAACAAATTGTACAATCTTTACGATCCAATCTAAGATATCACAATAAAGCTATCTTTTGTTTTGCAAATCCAAACATTTAAAACACACGAAGCAAATATCCACATAACTGCAATATAACTCTGATATTTGTTCATTTGGTTATTGTATTCATCATTTATCTAAAGGCATAAAAATTGGTACAGTGTGGCATCAAATTGTGCATGCATCACATAGGCCATTTGACTTAATTGTTTTCTCCACAACCTAAACAAAATGATGTTCCTGTCAAGGATGATAAAATTTGATTTTCCTCCATCTCCGTTTAAAATAAATCCTTACTATCGCTATTCTTCAATGACTTTATCGTCGTATTGTACTTGGCCTCGTTTCGAGTCACTGGTATGAATAAATAAATATGGGTTAGCTATAGTTTTACTTAAATTTTACGTAAATTTTGTAAAACTTACGCTTATTTAACTTTTTGGTATAGGTTAAAGGAAAAGATGGAGTTGGTGCTATAATGGACTCAATGGAACTCGAAAGACTTCGTGGGATAACAATTCAATCTGCTTCAACTTTCACAACATGGAAAGATTGCACTATCAATCTGATTGATACACCTGGTCATGTAGATTTTACAGTTGAAGTTGAAAGAGCCCTTCGTGTTCTTGATGGTGCAGTTCTAGTATTGTGTGCTGTTGGTGGAGTTCAATGTCAAACAATTACAGTAACTAGACAAATGGATCGTTATAATATACCTAGAATTGCATTTATTAACAAACTTGATCGTCAAGGTGCAGATCATGTTCGAGTTCTTAATCAAATAAGGTAGTTCTAAAGTTGCAAATTAAAAATTTCGTTAATTTTATTTGGTTTTTGACAAATGGTCTTGATTATTTTAACAATTTATAAATTAATCATTTATCATATTCTAACTCTCCGCGTCTTTTTCGTTGGATGGCATATGTAAAATACAAAGTAGTTCATTATTTTTTTTACTGATTTTTTTGTATTTCTGTTAATTCAGAATAATCATTTCCACTATATTAGAGTCAACAATGACTTGTGTTAATATGGTTCACCGTCATTAAAACAAACCATTTTACGAGACAAAATTTTACAAATCATTTTTAAATATTTTAAAATCGATATCACTGTAATGATTCGAGGATAGACTTTTTTGAATTCAGTTCATGTAATTTAAGTATATTTCATATATCAAGCTAACATGGAATGAGCATTTGATCTGGTAACAAGTGGAGTGAAAAATCACCTAATAGGTATGTAACTTGGAGATATGTACAGTCTACGTGTTTTTAATTATAGGTATCTTTAAATTATTGCTGGCCTTTCGTGAAATGGGTGAGCGAGCAATGTCAAAATTAAGCTTACGGTGTTAATTAGAGTTAATTAGAAGTTATTTGTAAAGTATTGTTAGTATGAACCATATTGGTAGGTGCATATTAACTATTTGGAGTCAATGTGATAACTGCTATCAGTGGTTGAACACGTTTGATAACATGACTTTGAATTAGACACAGTGGCTCAAGTACATTTACTCTTTATGTTCATATATGTTTCAAGTCCTAGTATTCTTTCACACGTACATTTTTATTGAATCTCATCTATTCCATTTTAACAACATTTCTCATGCCTTGATTCCCATTTTAGTCGAGTTAGAGCTGATGGAAAACTGTCATCGGAATTGATTACTTCAAGTAGTGTTTGTCAGGGCTGCCCGCTTTCTCCATTCTTGTTTAACTTTGTCATTAACGTGCTTTTAGATACGTTATTTTCATCATATAACTCTTCAGAGGTTGGCTTTCTACCTGGAGATTCGCTTGTTGACTTGAAATATCCCGACAACATAGTTCTGTTTAGTGAAAACGCTGACGAAACGAAGAGTCTTTAGACCACCATGAACAGTAACAAAAGCATGCTCGGCATGAGATTCTCTCCCTCGAAACGCAAAATATTACTTCAGGATTGGTTTGCGTCGGCACTTGAACTAGTAGTAGTGAGTGAAGTAGTTGAGTTTGTTGACCGCTTCACTTATTTTGAGTTATCAGTGCTGATGACTTGGTGTATGACAAAATCCTGACACGGATACAGAGGCTCGATTGGCTTTTGTCAACATGCGTCACTTATGACGTAGGCAAGATATCCGTTTGCTAACCAAAAGACGAGTTTACCATGCATCAGTTCGTTTAGTCCTACTCTCTAGGTGTGAAACGTGGCCAGTGAGAGCAGAGGATATTTGCAGGTTTCTAGTATTCAATAATTGGTGTTTTCGAAGCATTGCTCGTTTATCCTGGGATCACCGACTAAGCAATGCTGATATTAAGAGAAGGATACTAGACAATGATGACAGACCAATGGATGAAGTAGTGAATCTTCATCAGTTACAGTGATTGGGACATGCATTACAAATGCCCAACCTTCGACTGCCTCTACGAGCTGTGCGTTTGATGTAGGGGTAAGCTGGAAGAAAGGTAGGAGCAGCCAAATTGAAATATTACACAAATTTATGAAGTCATCGACAACTGGACTGAGTCATATTAGTAAGTGTAGACTATCCGTTTCGGCTCGGTGAGACAATGGTAACTAATGGTTAGAGACCTTGAATGACATGGCTTATAATCATTTGCAATGACACAGGTGCATCCACTGTTTGTCTTCTCTCGAATTCTAATCCAAATTCCTCATGACCTTTTTTCGATTTACCTCACTGGTTTATATTTCTTGAATCATATCTTCGAACTCTTATCTTCTCCATCCCCACTAATACTTCTGCTCTACACCTACTACTATCGGACTTGGCTTGACGATTCCATCTCTCTCCCTGCTATTATGATATGGCAATCTGAAATGATGTATGTATTTACGAAGTCCTACATTGTAGCTGACTCACTAATACTTTTGAAGTAGAATATCACTTTCAAATACTGTTTGGTAAATAACTAATCTCCATTATTTACCCTACTGGCTTAGTTACTTTAAACATACTTTTTCACTGATTTCTCTCCTATTTTTTTCAGATCGAAGCTTAAACTCAATTCAGCTTTTATTAATATACCTATAAGTGACGATTCAAAAAGTACAGGAATAATTGATTTAATCAATGAGACAATTGTTTATTTTGATGAACCATTTGGGTGAGTATCCTGACTGTGGAAGATTCATTCTGAGTCCACGATTTTTTTTTTTTTCAATTTTCCTTGTTAATTATAATGAAAGTTTTACATTCGCTCATTTAATATCACTGTCATCATCTAGTGATTATCATATTTAATGTTTAACCATTAAGCTGCCAGTATGGATCTTATCCAATTTGCTGTGGGTTTGGACTAACTGGTAGCGACTTACTTACTTACTTTCCCCTGTTACCCCCAATGGAGCATAGGCCGCGCACCAGCAGCTTTCTCCAACCAATTCTGTCCAATTTTTGTTCATTCTTCCCATATCTTTCTCTGTTTCTCGACGTAATATGTTCCTTGGCCTTCCTCTTTACGTTTTACCTTGAGGGTTCCAAGTGAGGGCTTGTCTTGTGACGCAGTCAGGTGCTTTTCTTAGTGTGTGTCCTATCCACCAACTCCACCGCTTCTTCCTGATTTCCTCCTCCACTGGGATCTGGTTTGTTCTCTCTCCCACAGTACGTTGTTGCTGATGGTGTCTGACTAACGAATCCGAAGTATTTTGCATGGACAACTGTTAATCGACACTTTTATCTTCTGGATGATGGCTTTAGTAGTTCTCCAAGTTTCCACTCCATACAATAGAACTGTCTTGACATTTGTATTGAAAATCCCAATTTTGGTGTTGATTGATATTTGTTTGGAGTTGCAGATATTTTTCAATTGTAGAAATGCAGCCCTTGCTTTGTCAATCCGCGCCCTCACATCTGCATCGGATATACCTTGATTATAGATGATGCTACCCAGATATGTGTAAAGGTGTTAACGTCCTTCAAGGCATCTCCATCAAGCGTGATTTGGTTGGTGCATGCTGTGTTGCATCGAAGAATTTCGCTTTTTCCTTTATGTATGTTGAGACCTACTGCTGCAGAGACTGCTGCTACACTGGTCGTCTTCTCTTGCATTTGTTGTTGCGTGTGCGATAGAAGAGCCAGGTCATCTGCGAAGTCCAGATCGTTCAGCTGCATCCTGGCTGTCCACTGAATACCGTGCTTTCCTCCAGATGTCGACGTCCTCATAATCCAGTCGATGACCAGGAGAAAGAGAAAGGTTGAGAGTAAGCAACCTTGCCTGACACCGGTCTCCGCCTCGAACGAGTCTGTCAGCTGTCCTCCGTGCACGATTTCGCAGTTGAATCCATCATAAGAATTCCGTATGATGTTGACTATTTTCTCAGGCACACCGTAGTGTCGAAGAAGCCTCCACAGTGTTTTCCTATCCTTGTTATTGAATGCTTTCTCGTAGTCGATGAAGTTGATGTAGAGTGGTGAGTTCCATTCAATTGCTTGTTCCACAATGATCCGTAATGTAAAAATTTGGTCAGTACGAAATCCAGCCTGTTGATCTCGAAGTTAGGCGTCTGCGATGTCCTTCATTCTGTTTAACAATACCCTGTTGAAGACTTTGCCTGGTATTGAAAGAAGAGTGATGCCTCTGTAGTTCTCACACTTGCTGAGATGGCCTTTCTTTGGTATTTTGATCAGGTATCCTTCTTTCCAATCTTATGGTACTTGTTCCTCATCCCAAATCTTCTTGAAAAGAATGTGATTTTTGCAGTTGCTTCCACATCTGCTTTCATTGCCTCTGCTGGAATGTTGTTTGGTCTTGCTGCTTTGCCAACTGGTAGCGACGCTAGTCGTTAAATAAAATGTGTTGCTCAAATCTGTATGAAATCATGAATCGATCAATGTTAGACCACCATTCAGAAAGCTGGAAGCACTGAAATGCGGCCGTGTCGTCCTAGTATAGGACATGTCAGCAGTGCGCACTTACGGCCCTCGCCCGTGGGGATTGAACCCGGGGCCTTCTTTGCTTTTATGAGTATATCGCCAAATGTTGATACGGATAGGAAATATCGTGTTTGTGTTGACAAATCCTAGTTTATGATAACTATAGTTCATTTCTTTTACATCAAATATGCAGTATGGAGTGTTCTAGTACATGTTGTTCTGTAACTCCGAAACCTGTCGTTACAATTTAGATTTAAATTAATGAGTTAAGTATCGGCATAGTCTTGGTCTAGAAGGCAATATGATTAACGTTCTAAAAGTTAGTTTGACTTAAGATTTAAAAATAAGATAAAAAAAAATAAATGCATACACACCACTGCAATGCATTTTGAATCATGTTATCTGAGATCTAACCAATCAAGATGGAGCTTAGCAGAACAAGCTACAAGTCAAACATGGAGAAATTCGAATGCTTCACTTCTGCTATCTGAAGTTTGTGCTGATGATGATGTTGTTCAGAAGAAGAAGAACAATGAAAGCTCCACAACCAAAATATCCAGCTCAGACAATGAAACACTACCACAATCATCCACCTGAGCTACAAATTTTCTCCACCATCTCATGATCTACGACCATTGATCACAACTGTTGCGCAAACCCCAACCAGATAAGTTTAGACCTAATAATATGGCTCAAGTTAACAGTCAGTAACTTAATTGTTTCACCTACTTTTATATACCTTTCAGTTTACTATTACTCTGAATTAATTGAAGGGAAAATAAAAGTGGCGACCAGACCAAAACATTCCGCGAATCCACGAAGTCATTGACAACTAAACTGAGTCATGTTAGTAGATGTAGACTACCTGGTTAGGCTCCGCGAAATAATAGTAATCGATGATTAGAGATCTTGAATGACATGGCTCAGAATCGTTTGTAATGGTGCAGGTGTATCCACTCATTGTGTTATCTCATATATTCTAATCTTCCTGAATTCCGCATCATCACCTCTATCTTTCTCTTTCGAAATTTATCTCCCTGAATTATAACTTCTCGAATCATCATATCTTCACTCCCTAATCTTCTCCATTACTACTGCAAATACTTCTACTATCGCTACCACTCTTGGATTTGAACTGACAGTTGCGTCTCTGTGTGTTGATGTGGTATAGCTACTTGGATGGATGTTCTATGTTGTAACTGACTGACTGAGTTATGCTTGTCATATAATTTAATTTGTCATGCTATTATTCATTTGACATTCTTTTAAACAGTTAAAATGTTATCATTTATTTTATTGCGACCTATTTTTTTAAATTATTATCTAATAGATTAACTGTACGACAAGATGCTATTCCATCTTCCATGTTAGCAGAGACTAAAGAACGTCGTGCTGAATTTATTGGTAATTTTATTTTATTCTGATGAATCAAACTGTGTGTGTGTGTGTGCATATATTTTTTCTTTCATGTCATTATTTACTTTCTGTCTGTCTATCCTGTCTTACTGGTTGATATCCGGACGTGTGATTCTCACGACTAACAGTTGGAAGCGTTGGATGACAATAGTATCCATTTAGGAAGTGTGCATATTAATAAGGGAGATTATCAAAAGATGTATATTGATAATCGTGAGTATTAAAAGGAGGAGTAACATTTTTAAGAAAAGATAATGCGCAATCTTTTCGATTCACCCTCAGTCAAGTTGTACTGTTATAGGGGGGGGTATTGGGGCAGGGTTGTCTACACTGTGGGTTAGGGTATCCTTTCTTGAGTGACCTGAAAAAGGAGCTAGGCTACTGTTAGTCTTAGTGACCTGGTAGCGTAACCACGGAGCTCGAGAGAAAACTGCTGGAGACTAGTCGCACACAGCCTTCTAATGGATAGTGTTTAACATGTTAGCTTCGCTCTTCAAATGGCCTTACCGCCGGAGATGGAAATTCGTAGGGTAAGGTAAGGTGTAACATTTTTAAGGTCAACCTTTTCTAATCCCTTCCTTCCGTTGTTAGAAGGCAGAATCGCTGCAGACGCTGGTTGTTCGTGGGAAACACCTTACTGCTGCCACACCTCTCTACTGTTGATAATACTTCACCCCCTCAAACCTTGAGTAGCTTTTTTTAGTCTTATCGTTCTCCAATCGACCTGCCTGGCATGGTAGAACCTTCAGAAACATATGTTCCAGCCAATATAGCTCGGTTGGGTCATCACGATAGGCAAACCCGACCAACACGTCAAGGTAGCAACTGCGGTCGGGATTCACCTTCCCATTGTATAAGAACTTCCTGAAACGAGCAGTCTTAGATGGGATGGTTGTAGAGGCTCTAGTCGACTTACTGCTTTTCCACATAAAAGTATATGGGAATTTATTGATTCTCTAAAAAAGAACGGAGATTTCATGGATTGAAGATCAAATATCCTTTGAAGAATCCAGTAACAACACTTGAAAAGTATAATGTAAAAGTACTTATCAAACCGGTTGTAGAAGATTACGCAAACAGATCAACAGTAGATTGTCTACATGGTACAGCACATAATTTCAATATGCACATTTAAACATGCTAAATTGTGTGACAAAAATTTAGTAATATGTGTAAAAATGCACATTTGATGTTCCCTCTAAATCGCCCTCTAAAGCTCTAGAGTTATCAACATGTTGCGGATTCTAGGTTCGAATTTTAAATATTTTTGCGCTAATATTTTTCACCTTAAACTAAGCCGTTCTTTGTGTACCTTATTATACTAAGATAATGTGATAGCACAAGTTCTCTCTACAGAATCCTTTAGACCTGAAAAGTTGATCGATTTGATGAACCAATCAGAAGTGACCAAACGAGAAGGCCATTTGATGATCATCAGATTATGTCTTAGAGAATGAATGCATGTTGTTGGTCAGGAAATGACTTCCTTTGCTACTTACATACTTCCTTACTTACACACCTGTTACCCCCAATGGAGCATAGACCGCCCCCTGTACTAAGGAGTTGGAATTTTGTGTAGACAAGTATTTGTACATGTTATTCGGTATCCAAATAGGCATTCTCTTCTGTGCTTCCCTTCTCACTCAAGCAGTCAGTTTGAGGAGCTAGCCTATATATCATGTTCATATCTCGAACATCGCACATCATAACATCGATCTTAACAAATTCTGCTCACAGAATCATATACCACAGACTGTATAATGCAAAACTACTTGAGTAACTCAAGGCAACCACACTTGAATCTAATATTTACAATTTAAATATCGAATGCCAAATAAGTTATAATATTATTGCTTGTGTCTGATGTTTACTATTCTCTTCTTCTTCTTCTCTTCTTTTAATTCCAGAATGTCTAGCTGATGCTGATGAAGAGATTGCTGAATCATTTCTAAATGAAAAATCATTAACTCAAGCTGAATTAAAAGCTGGCTTACATAGAGCCACCATTTCAAGACGATTTGTTCCAGTTCTGGTTGGTTCAGCATTACGTAATCGTGGTGTACAACTACTGCTTGATGCAATTGTGGATTATTTACCTAATCCTGGTGAAGTGAACTATTATGCTTTGAATGAAAGCTCAGGGTAAGTTTTATCTGTATTTTTCCTCAGTTTATCTGTATGAATGAATCATTGTTATTAGACAAACAATGAAAAACTTGGAAGCACTGAAAGATGGGTGTTTTTTCCCTGATATGGGACTACTGTTCACCAGTGGCGGTACGCATCCACTACTCCTACCCTACTACTCGCACAGGATTCGAACCCAGGAGCTTTGGTCTTGTTCTCGAACGCCTAACCTCTGGACCACTGAGCTGGCGGCATAAAACGGTGTTAATGTCAGACAGTCACAGTGTAGGACTTCATACGTACGTACATCAACACAGGTTGCCATACCACATTACCATACCACGCAATCGTCACTTCAAATCGCATAGAGTAGTAGAGGTAGTAAAAGTATTAGAAGTAATCGAAGAGATTAGGGTTTGTCGATATTATTCAAGAAGTAGAATCTAGTGAAATAAACATAAAATGAAAAAGATAAAGCTGATGTGGAAGTCCGAAGTTTAGGATTTCGGAGAACACAAACAGTGGATACACCTGTGCCATTGCAAACGATTTTGAGCCACGTCATTTAAGGTCTTTAACTATCGATGACTTTCGTCTCTCGGATCCCAACCAGGTAATCGACACCTGCCAACATGACTCAGTCCACTTGTCAATGACTTCATGGATTTCTGCCATGTTTAAGTTTTACCGCCTCTAACCTACTCCTTCACCACAAAGCATAGCTCGTTGAGGCAGTCGGTGGTTAGGCATTCGTAACACATGTCCCAACCACTTCAACTGATGAAGTTTCAATACTTCACCCATTGGTCTGCCATCTTTACCTAGTACTCGTTTCCTTACAACTGGATTGCTTACTCGGTTGTCCCAAGATGTACGAGCAATGCTTCGAAGACATTTACAATCAAATACTAATAACCTACAGATATCCTCAACTATTACCGGGCATGTTTCACAGCCATAAAGTAAGATGCAGCAAACTTTTCAGGATGTTAACGTTTTGTTTTAATTCACGTTGAAACACACCTTAAAATATTGAATATCCATGACTCTTCTACCGGGGGTCGAACCTAGGATCTTCGATCTTAGATGCCTGGGGTGGCCATACCAAAACATGTGACTAGTACATGAACTGAACTATGTTAACAGGCTTAGTGTGCCTGGTTGGCGTCCTCGAGATTATCGTTAGCAGTGGCTAGAGACTTTGAATGACGTAAATGGCGTAAATGCCTCCATTATTTGTCTCCCTTCAAATTTTAAACTTCAGAATTCTTCATGATCTTGTTTGTCTTTTTAAGTTTATTTCATTGGTTTTTACTTTCGTGGATCTTATCTTCGATTTTTCTTATCTATTACTACTTCTACTACTCTGGGGATTAGACCTGACAGTTTTGTCTCTCCATGCTAAAATAAACTTTAGTACGTACGTACGTACGAAGTTCTGTGTTGTAAATGACTGTGTTAACATTTATCCTCTAGACCACTGATCCGGAATCGAGTGATGTACAGTCAGTCAGTTACAACATAGAACTTCGTACGTACGTACGTACGTACATAAGTTCGGGTTGCCATACTACATTAGCACAGAAATGCAACTGTCCGTTGAAATCTCATAGTTGTAGAGGTTGTAGAAATATTAGTGTTAGCATATTTATCCAAAATCCTAAGAGAATTACTTGTCTAATTCTATTGGTCAATTCCTATTGGTTAATTCCTACTGGTCAATATTATGATCTTCCTTGCTATCACTGTCACGTACTTCAATGTTATTTCCCGTTGGTCGTCCTGACTAATAATGTCACTTCAAATGTTGTTTCTTACTGGTCGTCTTAACTGTCGATATCACACACTTTGGTGTTGTTTCCTATTCGACCTAAGTGTATAAATACGCATTATCTGTAACGTTTTATGACCCAGACCCGGATCCCTAGTCTGGGATCCTGATTCTCTTCTGGACTCGGACCTCGTACTTTCTGGATGTTTGTAGAATACAGGTTCTACTACATATCAAGTCTTCTCTTCTTTTACTCAATGGGGGGGGGGTTCGGGACACTCGTATTAGAGTAGCGTGTCGTGTCCCCGGATCTTCGATCCTCACTCTCGTTCTCCGACTAAGGGGTGAACTCGTAATAGTTCAAGCATATCAGAAAATGACATGTTGACGCGCACGCGTAACAATTGGCGGTAATGACGAAGATTAAAGTTCGAAGATTATTGTTCAAGAAGTATAATTCAGTAAGAATTCAGTTCACATGCTGATAATATCAACTCATTTTGATTTATTTGTTACTTTACAAAGCTATATGCTTTTTTATATTTCAGTGAAACTGTTAAAGTCCCATTAAAACCTGAACGAACCAGTGATAATCCATTTCTGGGGTTGGCTTTCAAACTGGAAGTTAGTGGTGTTAAATTCTCGTATATTTATTACTTCTTTTAAAATGTGTTTTCTTTTAATTAATTTGTATACTTTCACAGCTGGTATAAATTCGCAAATTCCCACTGGCTGTAAATACATTCATCTTTTCGAACCCTCTTATGAGTTAGATTTTTATTAAGGATCTCCACAATGTTCTTGGTTCTCCGGGTTTACAGTTATAGATTTAAAACTTAAGGATGGATTGGTTTGTTGTACACAGTCGTTAGGAAACGAGTACTAGGTAAGGATGGCAGATCAATAGATGAAGTAGTGAAACTTCATCAGTTGAGGTGGTTGGGACATGTGTTACGTATGCCTAACCACCGACTGCCCCGACGAGCTATGTTTTGTGGAGTAGGAGTAGGTTGGAAGAAAGTCAGGGGCGGGCAGACCAAAACATGGCAGAAATCCATGAAGTCACTGACAAATGGACTGAGTCATGTTGGTAGATGTAGACTACCTGGTTGGGGTCCGCGAGACGAAAGTCATTAATGGTTAGAGACCTTGAACGACATGGCTCAAAATCGTTTGCAATGGCGCAGGTGCATCCACTCTCTGAGCTCTCTCAAATCCTAATCTTCTGGATTCGTCAGCACCTCTACCTTTGTCTTTCTCACCTTATCTCACTGAATTATATTTCTTGAATAATATCTTCGAACCCTAGTCTTCTTTATTAACATTAATACCTCTACTATCTTTATCACTATGGGATTTGATTTGACATTTGCGTCTCTGTGCTGTGGTATGGTAATATGAACTTATGTACATACGTACGAAGTTCTACGTTGCAACTAACTGACTGACTGACACAGTCGATATATATAGAGAATTATGCTTCCAATACATTGGACATTACCATTTCTACTCTATGATGGTGATAAGTGTTGTGTGTTAGTGAACGCAAGAAGTGATTGGTTGGTCATTGTGTGTAAATAAGTAGATACTAGGCTTACTGACTATTAAATAGATATGGTTTCCTTCCCTTGATTGGTTAGAGATGTTGAATGACATGGCTGAAAATCGTTTGCAATGATACAGGTGCATCCATTCTTTGTTTTGTCTAAAATTCTAATCTTCTGAATTCCTCATCATCTCTGTCTTTCTCTTTTTCAAGTTATCTCACTAGATTGTACTTCTTGAATAATATCTTCGAATCCCCTAATCTCTCCGATTACTACTAATACTTCTACTATCTTTACTACTATGAGATTTGAAGTGACGATTTGTTGGGGACGTTAAATCCCTAGAACTCATTTGACAAAGGTCCTAATTTTGGATTTTATGCTTTCGCGCATGGGTTGATCGCTTGACCTTGAGATTGCATTCCCCGTTCGGAAGATCTTTGACTCTCATTGGTTGATGTATTATTTTAGTATGCTATTTTTGTAGCTCTCTCAAGGATGTCTTTATCATGTGTAAATAAACTCGATTTGTGTGCTTGTGGACCTCATATTTTCTGGGTGCTTGTAGAATACACTTTCTACGCCATATCGAGACTTGGTAAGCTTGAATTAGATTAGCCTATCGTGTCACTGGATCATTTGTCTTCGCTCTCGTTTACCGACCAAGGTGAACTGGTTATTAGTTTCAAGCATATCAATTGACTTGAGCATAACATAATTCTATCTGTCTCTGTGCTAATGTGGTATGGCAACCTGAACTGATGTACGTACGTAAATAGTTCTACGTTGTAGCTGACTGACTGACTGACTTAATTTTGAAGATTTAGGATGGATTGACTTTTTATGCACAACCAACACATGGAAAATTGGGCTTACAATACATTCAACACTACTGTTTTTTCCCGAATGATGATAAGTGATGTGCGTGTGTGTGTGTGTGAACAAATAGACACTTAGCCTACTGACTACTATAAATATATATGATTTCCTTTCCGCTTATTTGTTTCTTCTCCGGATTCATTGAGTGCAGAGTGCTTGTCATCAGTCAGTCAGTCAGTTACAACGTAGAACTTCGTACGTAAGTAAATCAGTCCATGTTGCCATACCACATTAGCACAGAGACGCAATTGTCAAATCAAATCCCATAGTGGTAGAAATAGTAGAAGAATTACTGCTAATGGAGAAGATTAGGATTCGAAGATGATATTCAAGGAGTATAATTCAGTGAGATAACTTTAGGAAGATAAAGGTGAAGGTGTTGACAAATCCAGAGGATTAGGATTTGAGAGAATACGACGAGTGGATGCACCTGCACCATTCCAAACAATTTTAAGCCATGTCATTCAAGGTCTCTAACCATCGATGACTTTCGTCTCGCGAACCTCAACCAGGTAGCTTACATCTGCCAACATGACTCAGACCACTTGTCAGTGACTTGATAGATTTGTGCCATGTATTGGCTAGGCTGCCCCTAGCTTCCTTCCAACCTACTCTTACACCACAAAACATAGCTCGTCGCTGCAGTCTGTGGTTAGGCATGCATAAAACATGTCCTAACCACCTAAACTGATGAGGTTTCAATACTTCATCTATTGATCTGCCATCTTTACCTAGTACTCGGTGCTTTTGAGACATCCACATTGTGTTCACTGATTCATTAAATGTTAAGATGTTACGTCCTTTTAGACACATCTAATGTAGAATATATACCCAGAAACCTTGTAGATGCCCTTCTTTCAGTTCTTCCTCTATGTACTTACCTTCACAATTACATGTAAATTCATAAATACATTTGGAGGTGACTGTCATTAGAATTGATTACTTCGTGTATACGCTCTTTGTGTTCTCCCAGATTCTAACCTCATGAATTCCTCACCATCACCCCTATCTTTCTCTTTCTAAATTCACCTCACTGAATTACACTTCTCGAATCATATCTTCGAACCCCAATCTTCTCCATTACTACTAATACTTCTACTATCGCAACCGCTATGGGATTTGAACTAACAGTTGGGTCTGTGTGCTAATGCGGTATGCCAACCCTGAACTGATGTACTTACGTACGAAGTTCTGCGTTCTATCTGTCTGTCTGATTATTTCAAGTAGTGTCCGTCAGTGTTGTCCACTTTCTTCATTTTTGTTTAAATTTGTCGTTTACGTGGTTTTAGATACGACACTTTTGTCAACTGACTTTTCAGGAGTTGAACTTTTACTGAGAGGTTCACATGTTGACTTAGAATATGCTGATGACATAGTTCTGTTTGGTGAAGACGCTGATAAAATGCAGAGTCTTCTGACTACTCTAAGCAATAATGTAAGCATGTTCGACATGCCATTCTCCCCGTCGAAATACAAAATGTTACTTCAGGACCGGTTTGTGTCGGCACCTGAACTAGCGATAGTGAGTGAAGTAGTTGAGCTTGTTGACCGTTTCACTTATTTTGAGAGTCACTTCAGTATTGATAACGTGGTGTGTGTGACCTAATCTTGACATGGATACATAAAGCTCAATTGGCTTTTGTCAACTTGTGTCACTTATGACGTAAGCGAGATATCCGTCTGCTAACCAAAGGACGAGCCAAACTACACAGCAGCTCGCTCCGTCCTACTATATCGTTGTGAAACATGGCCGGTAAGAGTAGAGGATATTCGTAAGTTACTAGTAATCGATCACAAATGTCTTCAAAGCACTGTTCGTATATCCGGAGACCATCGAGTAAGCAATGCCGATGTTAGGCAACGAGTACTAGGCAAGTTATAATGGCAAATAACGTATGAGGATAAATCAGAAAAATTTATTACCATAAAACTGATCTCCACACTCTGATCTTCTTTCATATAAACATTAAACTCACATACACACACAACATCGATGATGTTTACTTTGAGTGTGTATTTTTTTTTAATCAGTCAGTCAGATGCATCGTAGAACTTCGTACGTAAGTACATCAGTTCATGTTGCCATACCACATGAGCACAGAGATGTAATTGCGAATTCAAATCCAATAGTAGAAGAGGTATTAGAAGTAATCGGAGAGGTTAGGATTAGATGATATTATTCAAGAAGTATGATTCAGTGAGAAAAGTTTAGAAAGTCAAAACTAAAGGGGTTGAAGAATCCAGAAGATTAGGATTTGAGAGAACACAAAGAATAAATGCACTGGCGCCATTGCGAACGATTTTGAGCCATGTCATTCAAGGTCTCTAACCATCGATTATTATCATCTCGCGGACCCCAACCAGGTAGCCGACAATTACCGACATGGCTCAGTCCACTCGTCAATGACTTCATGGATTTCTGCCATGTTTTGGTTTGGCCGCCCCTAACTTTCTTCCAACCTACTCCTACACTACAAAACAAAGCTCGACGAGGCAGTCGGTGGTTAGGCATACGCAACACATGTCCCAACCACCTCAACTGATGAAGTTTCAATACTTCATCGATTGATCTGCCATTCTTACCTAGCACCCGCTTGCTAATAACAGCGTTGCTCACTCGGTTGTCCCACGATATACGAGCAATGCTTCGAAGACACCTATGATCGAAAACCAATAACCGACGAGTATCTTCTACTCTCATTGGCCATGTTACACAGCCATAAAGTAGGACGGAGCAAACTACTGCACAGTACACTCGTCCTTTAGTCAGCAAACGGATATCTTGCCTACTTCATAAGTGACGCAGGTTGGCATTTTTTTTAATCATGTAAAAAACGATTCCAATATGATGATTAATTTGTTGAATTTTTATACTCTGTTCCGTTTTGTTTAGGCTAGTAAATTTGGTCAGTTAACTTATATGCGTATCTATCAAGGTTGTTTACGTCGTGGTGATTCAGTGAAAAATTCACGTACCGGTCGTCGTATTCGTGTTCCACGACTTGGACGATTAAATGTTACTGAATTGGAAGATTTAGAAGCTGTCTACGCTGGTGATATTGCTGCATTTTTTGGTGTTGATTGTGCATCAGGGGATACAATGATTGATGTCAATATGAAAGAACCATTAGCTATGGTAAGTAAGTGATCTTGTTATTTACTTACTTACTTAATTACGCCTGTTACCCCCAATGGAGCATAGGCCGCCCACCAGTTTTCTCCAACCAACTCTGTACAGAGCTTCCCTTTCCAGTTTTGTCCAATGTTTGTTCATTCCTCTCATATCTTTCTCTATTTCTCGGCGTAATGTGTTCCTTGGCCTTCATCTTCACCTTTTGCCTTGACGGTTCCAAGTGAAGGTTTGTCTTGTGACACAGTTAGGTGATTTTCGTAGTATGTGTCCTATCCATTTCCAGCAGTGCTTCTTCCTAATTTCCTCCTCCACTGGAATCTGGTTTGTTCTCTCTCACAGTACGTTGTTGCTGATGGTTTCTGGCCAACGAATCCGAAGTATTTTGCTTAGACAACTGTTAATAACTCTTCTGGATGATGTATCTTGTTATTTATTGAATAACATTTTATGGTTAGGGTTTTTTTTATAGAGAGTTAGTTTCCTAAGCGATGGGATTGCTAACTCTCCAAGCCTAATCCTCTTCGTTTATCCGGGCTTGGGAGAGCAGCAGTATTGAATAAAATTAAAATTTGAATAAAAATAGACAGAATTCAGTGAAGAAAATTTTACTTTTTCAATACGATCATTTACTTAAACTCTGTACACATTTGTATTTTAAGCTGGGTCCATTATTTATGGATGTGTTAAGGATAAATAAGCTTTCACTTTGGGCCACATCTGCTAGGGGCAGACAAACCAAAACATGGCATAAATCTATGAAGTCACTGACAAGTGGACTGAGTCATGTTATTAGGTGTGGACTACCTGATCGGGGTCCGCGAGAATATAGTAACCGATGGTTAGTGATCTTGGATAACATGGCTGAAAATGGTTTGCAATGGCGCAGGTGCATTCATCCTTTGTTTTCTCTCAAATTCTAATCTTCTGAATTCCTCATAATCCTTTCCTCTCTATCTGTTTTTTAAATCGATTCCTTTCGGATATAATTCTCTAATGATATCTTCGATCACTAATATTTTTGATTACCGCTAAAACTGTTACTATCTCTACTACTTCTATGTGAAAGAAATTGACAATTCAATCTCTTTGTGTGTTATTGTGGGGGTGTGAAAACTTAAACTGATAGGCGTACGTACTTACGAAGTTCTACGTTGTAGTTGACTGGCTGACTGACTTGGTCCACACCGATGTGTATCTGTAAATTTACTTTTTCCTCTAGGTTAAGTTACTTTGTCCACACAAAGCAACAACTTGATTATTTTACCCTGCAGGATGGTCAAGACAAGTTTGTTGAACAAAAGCGTTGTT